TCAGTTGGATGGCTTCCCTGACCACCGGTGTCCACCATGATGTTCAGGGTTACTGCCCCTTGAGGCACCTAAGACCTTGAGACCACAGCTTCATGCTGCTGCTTCAGCAATAGAAGCTTTGAACATTGCCCACTCATGTTCAATGAGATGAAGTTCTCATGGACAGGGCCTCTCCAGACGTTCCCAGTTCACACGCACTACCCGTTTGGGCTTACCGGGTCTGTCCAGAGTCTTCCCCCACCTCCTGACCCAACTCACCACCAGATGGTGATCAGTTGATAGCTTCGCCCCTCTCTTCCCCCGCCCCACCCAAAAGATGGAGAGGGGGGTGCCACTTAGCTTTTTTGGGTTGTGCCCGGCCGGCTCCGTGGCAAACCCGGCCACCAGGCGCTCGCCGGCGAGCCCTCCCTCTGGGCTTGGCTCCAGACTGGGGCCCGGGGCTTCCTCCGGGCAGGTCTCTCTTCCTCTTCCTTGTTTTTTCATCAGGTGTCTATGAACCATTCTCAGTCTGGCCCCTCACCTGGAACCACTTTTCCATGGGAGACCCTACCAGGAGCACTAGGCTCCAGACAACACGGCCTCCAGGCTCACCTGGGCACGCAAACCTCTCCACGATAAGGTGATGGTTCCCAGAGAGGATTAGTAATCACTGTTTAGCCAAAATTACTTTGACCAAGACTTATTTCTAAGAGTAATATAATGAGTCCTAAGAAACCTAAAATGTATTTCTCACACCTGACTTCCTTGAATCCTTCCATTTCCAGTCAGCAGGCTTAGCCTTAGGAACATGTGGACACACCCCTTCGAACAGCTCAATTAGTAATGGAGAAGAGGACCACAGCAACCGGAGCCTTCCTTTGTCCAGAAAACATGCTGGAAACACAATCTTCCTATTTTCTGAAAATGTTCACCCAGTCCATCAGAAACATGAGCTGTGCATTGTAATGAGTCTTTCCGCATGTGTGAAAACACACAAAAAAACAATGAGCCTTTTGTTCCAACCATCCAAGCAAACAGAATGGGTGCCGTGGTCTCAGAGATCTGCATTCCATCTTTAGTCCTTGTTGGTGACCCAGTGTTCCTTCTGCATCTCACTCATTGTTGTTTGTTTGAGCTTGGTGTAACGGGTGTGGTCGGGTGTGTGAAGGATGACTCTTGAGATCACTTCTTTTTCCACAATTTATTGGCTCGCACATCCTCAGCGGTGCAAGACGCGACTGAGCACGTCATGTATTCAAAATACATTACAAACACATTACTCCAACATCACATGAGTTACTTTGCTCATAGTGTACATAGTGTTCATAGAAAGCCATTAACACTGTTCAGAAATACTAAATATTAAATGCAACAATTACATAAAAACAGTACATAGGTTTCCTTAAAACAACATAGCCTAACAGCGACACCTGGTGGTCTGAATTAAAAGTGTGTGTGGGAGGTGACAGAGACAACAAAAGTTACATTAATAAACAGAAGGAAAACACATACCTGCAGAACACAATGCACACATCAATTACCCCTTACCTCCTCTTACATTACCTCTGCTTCCTAAACATACAAAAATACAGCGTTTACTCAAGTGACAAGACGCTGACAAGCTACATAGGTAACATGACACGGCCCGCCTGCCGTGGTAAAACTGGCGCTAGAAAGTTAAAATGAAAACACTGATAAAACGTATTTTAACGGTCACACTAATACAAAACTGCTATGAGACATAACCATATTGACATTGCACAATTTGTGTTTAAAGTTATTACGTAAATGGTTCAATTTCCAAAGAAAACAGTACATAAACCCAGCAGCTCCGTTACACCGGCATGCTATAGGAGGGAGGGCACATTTTCACATCTCGCTCATAAGGTTGGTTTCTTCAGACAGTGTGCCAACACTGTCCCCCCTCTTCTTCTCGTCCTGGATTTTGTGTTGGTCTCTAAAGAGCAGTGAGCAGCCTATACTCCTGAAGAGTCCTCAGCTATGGGCCTCAGCTAGGTGATTTGGGTTGTGAACGGAGGGTCCGAAGTTGCTGTACAATGAATTACATTTATATAGCGCTTTATCATACAAACTCAAAGCGCTTCACAGTGAAGTGGGGGGGACTCACCTCAACCACCACCAATGTGTAGCGCCCACCTGGGTGATGCACGGCAGCCATTTAGCACCAGAACGCTCACCACACATCAGCTTGAGGCAGAGAAACATTGAGCCAATTACTAGATGGCCAGGTTGGAAATTTTTCCATGACACCGGGAGCCCCCTGCTCTTTGCAAGAAGTGCCATGGGACCTTTAATGACCACAATTATTCAGGACCTCGGGTTAACGTCTCATCCGAAGGACTACAGCTCCTACAGCGTAGTATCCCCATCACTGCACTAGTATCTTATTATTAGGACAGAGGGAAGACTGCCGCCTAGTTGCCCACCAACACCACTTCCAGCAGCAACTTAGTTTTTCCAGGAGATTTCCCATCCAGGTACTGGCCAAGCCCAAACCTGCTTAGCTTCGGTCTATCAACAGTAGCAGGATTTGCATTGGTATGGCTGCTGGCATGCTGTACGGTTCTGGAATGAGTTTGCGATGGCTGGTCTGGACCGACATAGCCTACAGCTACAATGATGACAGCTGGAATGTCTCACCTTTCAGTTAGTGGGGCTTTGACCAATGACCTGGTTTCCTGTTTAGCAGAGGGAAAACTTGATGATCACAACATGAAGGCAGTATTTCTTTCCTTCACATGGTGTAATTTCATTGAATTCAATCACAGGATCACTACAAACTGTAAATAGCCCTTTATGTCAGTGAAAGCAGTCAGGTTTGTCAGTCCAAGTCATTCTGTTAAGTGCACTGAGATTATCACCATGAATCATGGAAGAGAGAGATTTGTATTAAGTCATTCATACTAAGCTCATCACCTTTTCCTCCATCCATCCTTCCGTCCATCGTCAACCGTTTATCCTGCGTACAGGGTCGCAGGGGCACTGGAGCGAGAGGTGGACAGGTTCCCTGGACAGGTTACCAGTCCATCACAGGGCACACAAACACAAACAGCCACTCACAGTCACAGTCACAATTCAGCGTCACCAGTGAACCTAGCCTGCATGTCTTTGGCCAGTGGGAGGAAACCGGAGCACCTGGAGAGAACACAGAGATGGGGAGAACATGCCAACTCCACATAGAAAGGCCTGGGATGACCAAGGTTCGAACTCTGAACCTGTTGTGAGGCAACAGTGCTAACCACTGCACCACCGTGCCAACCTTTTTCAATTTTATTTAATGGTTATTGGTTTTGGAACAGATTGGATGGTGTTTACGAGAAAGATTTGCCCTCTGCTGTGATCACATGTCCCAGATATGTCACTTGTGTTGAGCAACTCGAAATTCTGGATTATAATAATAATAATATTCATTGCATGTTTGATACAAACCTTCTTTTACATCACTTTTTGTATTAAACTGCCTTGTCTCTTCTCTCCTGGGCTCATTTTAACTTTGCGATGTTAGTGAAATGGCTCTAGCAGTCCTTGTGATAGCCAGTGTGAGCTGACATAGCAGCAGAGTTTCCAACTTGTATCTTCACACTGCCCCTTCAGCAACAAGACCCTCTTTTTCATGATATTTCTATAGAAACCCGTCCTGTGTCTCTAAAAGGAATGTTGGGTCCATTTGTCTTTGCATGCACGCAGCACCCTGTTTCATTTATAGATGACTCCCAGTGTTTCCCATACGTTCATTTATTTGTGGCGGCCTGCCACAATCTCAATGCTGACTGCCACAGATTGATTTTTTTTTTTTTTACTAAGCCTATTTAGAATCGTATTTGATTGCAGAGCACCATAGCGCATTCGTGCAGCTCGCCCGTCCCTCTCTCGCTCTCTCTCCCTCGTGGAACACCGCTGCACAAATCTGTCCAACACAACGCTGTCAGTGTCGGAGACCCAGCTTTAAAGAAGTTATTAGTCAGCATGCAAGGAGCCTAGCTAATAAGGACAGCTAAGTTAATGTTAGAATGCAGCTGGATTTTCGAGGCTAGCACGCTGTGTATATAGCTGGTAGTCAACACCGCCACAGTTACACTGTCATTCTGTGGGAAACACTGACTCCTCCACCATCACTCCAACCAGGATGGTGAGAAACTTTGGTCTCATGATTGATGACCTGCTGTCCTTTTCAGACCATGTTGCTGCTGTCTCTTGGTCGTGCCGCTTTGCTCTATACAACATAAGAAAAATCAGGCCCTACCTCACTCAGTACCCACTGATGCCATACGTGCTATTAGCTCTTACTAGTATTTATTGCTGCCCTTACTAACTAGGTATTGTCAGTTGTAGATCTCATGCTGTATTGATGCTCTTGATTCTTGTATGTTGTTCCTCAATCTTAAGTCGCTTTGGATTAAAGCGTCTGCCTAATGAATAACTGTAAATGTAGATGTGATGCTAGCAAACATCTTTAACAAAAAGATGGACAGGTGAAGTTCCCAAGCAATACAATAGAACTAAATTTTGGGATTTCATATATATTACGCGAATATTTCATGAAAACTTTTAGGGGACAAATTTATGATAGAAGATTTGTTGAAAACTGTAGAAGTTGTTATCCAAAAACTGGGTCCTCCCTCGATGGTGATGGTCTAAATACATGAAAGCTCTTTTATTCACCCCATAGGGGCCTGAGTTCCTTGAATCCTTCCATTTCCAGTCAGCAGGCTTAGCTGAAAGCACATGAGCACACGCCTCTTCAAACAGCTCAGATAGTAATGGAGAAGAGGAAAAGGCAAAAAGCCTCCCCTTTTCTTTCAATTTCCCAACTGTCCTCATTTTACAGTTTCAAAATGTTCACCCCCGCCTGTGTGAAAACAATAGAAAACACATTTAGAAATCACACAAATAAAACAATGAGCCTCTTGTGCAACCCATTCCAAATAGGTACTGTGACCTTGAAGATCTGGGTTCCATTGTTGAGTCCTTGTTGAGTCCAACATGACATTTATAGATAGATGTTGGGCGTGTCACTGGACAGCTGGGCTTGTGTTGGAGGTAGACATGGAGGGAGGGAGAGAGGGGAGAAAAAGAGTATTTATGCAGGTGCAGATCTGATGATATGTACTTACAGCGATGGCTTTCTACAAAGTGATCTGTGTGGCGACTCTGCTGACTCTCCTGACACAAGGTAAGAACCCTCCTCACTGATTTAGTACAAAATAATGACTTTTAATTTGAAAACATGTATTTTTTCCAAATGGTATACTAATTGTGAAAAACATTGCAATAACCTCTACGTGTAGTTTTTTTAACTTCATGCACAGTCTCTTTTGTCTATTAAAGTTTGTGTTTATTGCAAAACGTTGTTTAATGTGATTCTAATTTAGTTTCACCCCACAGTAACATTTATGAAGTTACAGTAAATCTATGCATCCTGTTGCACACCTGTGATTTGTGCTTCTGATTGACAAGATATCATGAAACAGACACAAAATCTTCCACTTGCAGAACATTCTTAAATAAATATTAAAAAGTTTTAAGTTGATCCAGATTTTAGATCTTTCATTAAGTGGTAAGCCCCATCTTCAAGACCCGCTGAAGTCTATAAGATTGTTCCTGATTGGTGTGAATGCTGGAATAATATTCTTCTACACAAGTCTAGAGTACCATCATGTGTTGGATTTTACAATCAGAATGTGTTACCTAGAATGTTGTATTTGCAAAGTACAGAAGTCGTAGAGGAAGTTATTAGAAGCCTGGATAGTGCTGTCAAAATCCTGAAATGTAACTACAAACACCTGAGTGCAGGGGAGGTGTCCTCTGTGATGCTGTACAATAACCTCACGAATCAGGACAACCGCATTCCTTTTCAACAGAGATGCAAGATATAATGGTAAATAAGACAGGAGAGCACTGCAATAATTATCAACAACACCAGGTCATGGAAACTGGCCAGCTACAGCGCACATGCAGTGTGATACCTACAATCAAACAGGTGCTCAGCGGCAACCTGACCCCAAAATGATAAAACATAACCCATACAATTAGACTTAACCAAATCTCTTGAAAAAACACTTGTACTCCCCTGTTTGAATTGCATTTGACGAGCTTTACGTTGAGCAAAATCTTCTACAATGTCATTAGTAAAAAATCCAATAGATTCTAGTTTGGGAGCTATGCGACCCTCTCCTCCTGTTCCCTCTCCTCCTTTCTCTTTCTGCAACAATTTTTATGTTTATATTTGATCAAATAGAACCTTAAGATTGGGAAACAATACACCTATAGAGACTCTGTGACCACAGCTTGGCCAAAGAGCCCTGATGACACAGGCAGACCTGGCTGCCCAGAGATGACAGGCTGTGTTAGCTCTGTCCACAGACACAGGTGGAGACAGACCGTGTCGGCTCAGATCATGAGCAAGGCCCTGACCTCCTACCTGCTCCCTGGGTGCTGCACTACGTCTGCCCAGTGCTCCTAATTACAATGAGTTACATGCAGAAAACAAATTCTGCATGCGTTGCACTGTGTCTAATTCTGACAACTAAAGTTGATTATATTATAGAAAATACTCCACATTTGTAATACATTATAGGTAGTATTCCCATTCATACTAATTAAATCATTACACACATTAGCAATATGAGGTTTATTGTAATTCTAAATAAAATTGACATGGAAACAGTCCTTTAGCTACTTCTTCATGCAAATTAAAGCCAGCAATGCAGTTTAGTATCATCTTTTCAACAATCCTTAAAATATTCTACATCTTTCATACATTTGTATTATTTGTATATACTTTTCAAGCCAGAAATCCAGTTTAGCACAAGCTAAGTAGTTAAGTTCAATGGTACTTAATTGGACCGTTAAAGGCACTGAATTTCTTTTAACACAGACATGTAATTCTGCAACTTAAAGCCACCTTAAAAAAGAAACTCTCTTATTCTTTTCAGTCTGTTTTTTGAAAGCATGCAAACTAAGGAATATTGTGGATTTAATTTAAGACATGTATGAGAACTTTTTTTATTCAGGGACATGTATTTTTCAATTATTTTATTTTTGAGACAATCATTGTGTTTGAATGATTTTAGTAAGAAATGTTAAGAGTGATGACAAACATCCTGACATAAATATCACATCAATATATCAAAAACATCAGTAAATATAAACACAATTTCTGTATCAAATATTGTTTGTTTTGTGTTTTCAGAGTCTCACTCACAACTGAATGGTAAGTCAAAGTTTCTACTCACTTTTTTACTTCCTGTCTGTCACTGGAACGTTTTAGACATGTTTCTATTCTTCTTATTTCCCACTTTGTCTTTGTCTCTCTCCTCAGTGTGTGGTCTGCCAACACTCAACACCAGGATTGTCGGAGGAGATGTGGCCCTGCAGGCAGCTGGCCCTGGCAGGCCAGTCTGCGAACCTCAGAGCCCCACATCTGTGGAGGATCCCTCATTAACAATCAGTGGGTGCTGACTGCTGCTCAATGCTGCACCAGGTAAGCAGTAAGGGTAGGGCAATGATTTAGCTTTTTTTAGCTTTGTGAACTGGTTACTTGTGAAACAATCTGGTCATAAACGTCTCCAAGTCCATTCTCACATCACATGTTGCTTATCGGACTGTAAACATGGGGTGCAGCTCAAGTCTGTTGTTTGTCTTTTCTTTTTTTTTACTGATCAACACGCCCCTTTATCGTATAGCCGTTATTGATTGGACAGCTGATCGTACTGATATGATTCATTGCAACACTGTTTTCATGAAGACAAATAGTCCTGATTAAACTCAAGTGTATCACTGCCAAGTTTTATTTGTGATTCGTTTAATGATTTGCCGTCTTGTTAAAATATTTTCGCTGTCAGTCTGAACAATAAAAGCAGAACAAACAACTTTCTTCATTTATTAGAAAGATTTTTCTTTTCTGTTATTTCCCCAATTAACTTAACGTATTATCAAGACAATTAAAGTCAGAGAGAGTCAGTCAGCAAGAAACACTTTCTACATCATTTAGCGTCATTTCCATTCAGTCATGTGTAAGGCAGATCATTCCTGAGAGTTTAGTCCAAATATAGACGACAATAAATCTAGAATTAAAGACTCAGAAGAAGCAAACACAGGAGGGGAAAAACCTGTTGATGTTACAGATGTTTTTCGGTCCAGAAAAGTTCTGTTGGTCTCCACCTAAACAGATGCAAAGAACATGGACTACATGTGCAGACTGGAGTACTAATCAAGAATTTGAGGGAACAACTTATGGAATTAGTATTTTAATTAATGGAATTTATATTATTACGAAACAAATTACTAACTTGTGAGTATTTGAATCTCCCTGTTTTAACATCTAACAAGCTCCATACAAACTAGATGGACTAGTGTCTGCTGAAATGTTCTTGACTACAGTTCTGCTTTTCATGTCTTTGCACTGTTTTTTTCTCTTCTGATAACTCAGACAAGGCGTAGGCACGAGAACTCTGACTGTGGTTCTGGGTCTCCAGAGTCTACAGGGAACAAACCCCAATCAAGTGTCTCGGGCAGTATCACAGATCATCATTCATCCCAACTTTAACCCTGGAACTTTTGAAAACGACATCTGCCTCCTGAAGCTCTCCTCACCGGTGGGTTTCAACGCCTACGTCCAGCCCGTCTGCCTGGCAGCCACAGGCAGCACCTTCTACAAGGGCACTGTCTCCTGGGCCACCGGCTGGGGCAATGTTGGAACTGGAGGTGGGTCAGAAAACCTGGATTACATTTATTTTCAGAGATAGTGTAAATACAGTGGTGTCAACAACTGTGTTTTTCAGTGCAAAAATGCAGTCCCCCCTTTACCCAGGGGAGAAACAAATCATTCCTGTTACTGTGTGCAGGGATCCTTTTATCATGATTTGTCTGTGACATTAACTGGAGGAACTGGAGGTTGTCTGGAGGTGGGTCAAAAAGGACCTGGATTACATTTGTTTTCAAAAATGATCTAATTACAATAGTGGCAATAACTATGTTGTCTCAGAATTCATTGAGTGCTAAGCAGGTTTGAGCCCAAACAAACAACACTGGAGAGCTGATATCAGTTTGCAATGTCAAACAAAATGATCTAATTACAATAGTGGCAATAACTATGTTGTCTCAGAATTCATTGAGTGCTAAGCAGGTTTGAGCCCAAACAAACAACACTGGAGAGCTGATATCAGTTTGCAATGTCAAACAAAGGTTATAATCTGTCACACAAATCTAAATCCAAATAAAACTGGTAAATGCAACCACACAGAGACAAGCAGAACTCTCAACATACTACAGTGACCGGACAGGAACTGAACAGAACTAAAAAACATTTATTCAAGAGCAAACAAGCATTGTGGGGCACAACCAGCTGGCACACATCAGGTAATCAGGATAAGGGAGACCCCCCACCCCCCCACACACACACATAGGCAGGGAGATACAGATGTCACACATATGAGCCACAGGGCCTGGACTACAAAACACGGCAACTGGCTTATCAAGGTAACTTTATGAGTACTTTGTGACGTGAGGTGTAACTTCCAGATTAACCCGTACTACGAAAGGTGGAGAGGTTTTACCTGAGGTCTGCTGCCATGACAATTTATGTTGAATCTCTAAGCTTCTCAGAACAGGTTATCTTTGTGGTTAACGTGGAGTTGCCCTATTTATGTGGACTAAACTCCACGTTAGTAGTGTTAATGATAATTATTCATACACACCACTTAATAAAATATTTTTAGATATTCAGTGTGAGACAGGAAATATTTGTAAAAAACCTACACATCATGCATCAAATATGTGGTATTCAAAATAAAAAAGTACTTTCTTCTAGATAGATAAACTTTATTGTCATTTCACCTGGTATTTCAATACGCAGAGAAACGAAAAGTTGTTTCTCATCAGCTACTTTTGTAGTGCAAAAGGACAATAAGAAATAAATAACACAGTTAAAATAACCTAAAAACACATTCCTAAAAATAGGAGACCTTGTCTTTAGGATAAATTTACATAAAATACTACATTTTTGTCTTGAGTGTTATACTGAATGACATTCAACTAGGGTACTTTCATATCAATCAGAATAAAAATTTATTACTTGCTTTAGTTTTGATTATAACTCATATAA